GGGGATCGCTAGAGGTGCCCAGCATACTGTAAAATTCTCTCGATTTTTATTACTTGGAGCATTTTTAACACGACTTAGACCAGCCACATGGAGACAAGAAAAGGATAATCTACCATCACACACGATAAAACTGCTCTAGATGCACTCCTTTCTATTTGACCTTTAAGATGTTATAGGCTTTTGGTCGAGTTAATCATTAGAAATACAAAACATAAATTGAGATATATTTCCAGTCAAGTGGTTGAATTTATATACTTTTTTCTAAAAGAAACATCCAGTCAATGAATATTGGGAATCTGCAATCATTTTGGACACAAATTAGAAGAGGACTGAAGAAAAACCTGCTGAAAAACCACAAATATGCCGTTAACCCTGTCACACCTAAACGCCGCTCTTCAATGCAATCCAGTCCAGATTTTCAATGACACTCAGCGGATGCAGATGCTTCACAATAATGGATGGAATAAATGCTGTAGTTGGTGTCTCCTTTTACGAGTTTGATGGGCTTCCAGTCTTTGTAGAGTTTTGAAATATTTCCTTTTGATTTCACACATCCTGTATTTTAAATAGGTCTTAAAGTGATTTATGTGCTTCTCAAAATTGTGTCTTAAATAATTATTAAGGTAATCGTGTTTTATCGTTTAATCATTGGACCAAGGGTGTTTAATTCTTAGTTTCCTTTTTTATTTTAGGCTCCATTGTCTTTATGAAAGGAAGGGATGGGCAATGGTGCCGTGGCAGGGTGGTTGAAGTCTTTCAGAATACTTGTGAAAAGTCTCTGAAGGTCTCCCGGGTCTCCCAGCTCTCCGGTTTGCGAGTCTTCCTCCTAGACTACGGGGCCATCAAATACATCCCAATCAAAGAGTAAAATAACTTGTATTTAGAAGAAAATTTCCCAGATTCTGTTCTTTTTTTTCTATTTCTCTTTTGATGATACTGTTAAAATATTAACTTTTTTCAGTCAGGGGAGGACGGATGAGTCCACTCTAAACTATGTGAACTGTGTCCTGAGGAAAGTGGATGAACACTTAAATGAAGAGCTGAGCCACATTCCTCCTCTGGCCATAAGGTGTTCACTGAAGGACCTGGTCCCGTATAACCTAGTAAGATCACTAATGATTCCAGTTATCTCTCTCTAGCTACAAAAGAAAATTGAATTTAAAACATTGTGTGCAGGCAGCGGGCTGGAGTAAAGAGGCAAAGACCAAATTCTGCTCTGTGGTCGGTTCTGCTGCGGTGGAGATGCGACCTTTGGGGAAGGACAGAGTGTCTTTGTTGGTGGATCTAAGAAAAGCTCCCATGGATCAACCCACTGATGTGTCCATCTCTGTCAGGGAGTACCTCGTTTTCATCGAGGTTGCCAGGTACCCTCATTAAAAGCTTAGTTTATATGGTTTCATGGCTTTAGTCCCAGCTGCTTTAGCCTGCTCAACTTGTTTTGTTTCTCCTCAAAGGTTCTATTCTCCAGTGATACTGGGCAGGAGGTCTCTCATGTATTATCCTCCTGTGTATCCAAAAGCCAACACTGAGTGTGATGCAGTTGTGTGTCACATCAACAACGCCTCTGACTTCTACATCCAGCTGGTATGAAAACAAAATCATTTCAGCGAACGAGGTTTAAGTCAAGGCAGCTGTCGGTCATATTTTTTATTTGTGCTTCCGTCTCCCTGCTACCTCAACAGGTTGACAACATGGAGTCCTTGTTGCTCACTGCCAAACTTCAGGATTGCTACAACTCACTGAAAGAAGATGAACTCAGGATCTACTGCCCTGAGATGGGAGAGGCTTGTGTTGCCTGCTTCCAAGACAACATGTGGTACAGAGCTCAAATTGAGGGTAAGGATCTATTAACTTTCATTTAATCCACCCTGTTCCTGCTTGTGTTACTGTAGGGTTTACCGGTGTGGTGCTATCTTCTGCTGTCAGGGCTTTAGCCTGATCACCTGCCTGGTGAACTGAGACGATGATGGTCTTGATGGCACAGGGGTCATGTTTTTTTTTTTTGTTTTTTTTTTTACAGCGCTTCCCCCATGCCTGCAAGTAAAGCCTGGGTCACAACTGTTGCATCTGACTTTTTATTCTCCAATGTATGACAGTTTGTGTATTTTTCCACACACTGACTGTGTGTGTATAGAGTGCTTCTTCTACACCTAAGCAGATCCTGATCCGTGCAGTTTTTTTCCCCTTTCAAATACCCTCAGACTGAAATACTGTCCTGCACCTGATTGGGTAAGATTATTATTAAAAATAAAAAAAAAAACTTGTGGCTACAAGGCAAAGCTCCACTTCATGACCAGCCTGCACAGCGGACTCTAGAACAGAGGTCACGGATTAGCGGACTGCGGTCCTGATCCGGACCCATCTGCTGGCTAATTCGGACCCAACCTGATTTAAAACATTTATAAATTATTGCATATTGTCCAACGACAGTTTCTAACAGTGTCTAACTTCTCTTGCGCCGCTTCTCCTGTTTGTACTGTAAAGCCCTCCAGTGGCCCCTCGTTGCTTTAGTTTTTTGAGACTAGAGGAGGATTCATATTTTAATTTATACCTTTTCTGTCCTGAACTGCTGTTATGGGTAAGGTATTCTGTTTAGGGAACTGTTGCATTAATTTAGTGTGACCCAGTCTGCCCAACATGTCCTCTGTATGATTCCAAAGGGGACAACAGACCTTTTTCTCTTCTGATTGAGTGATTTTTTTTTTCTGTATTACTCCCCAAAACATGCATGGCAGCCAGCTCCCAACCATCAGGGGACAGACGTGATACCGGCCTCGGGTCTTGCCAGCAGGCATGTAACTGCCTCAGGTACTCCTCTGAACGAGGGACAGAAAACGGAGTAGGAGCCCGCCCACACCTGAAAAACTCAGTACTGGAGGCAGCGTCCTCTTCTGCCGGAAGTTCAAGCTGCAGCTACCTCATTGCCACGCACCAACTGTGCTCCGGTATGAATAAGAGCCAGTCTCAGAGGCTTGAGTAGACCGCGACTCTTCCTTCTTATTGTCAATTATCAAATCAGGCATGGGACTAGAGGAGAGCCCAGTCACCAGGAGCGAGGCATCAGGCTGATGTGCTCGCTACAATGACTTTGTCTCTGCCGACATAACCTCTTAACCCTTGAGGCCAGGCCATAGTCAGGAACGCTTGAGTGGGGCTACTAACCCAGAGGGCAGGAGGTCTGACGCATCAAGAGAGAAAAGCTGGGCCAACCAAGCCCCCTTCCTTGAAGCTGCATTTCACGGAGAGATTTTCAGACAGTGCCTTCACAAGGTGGTCACGCCCAGACAGCAAGGGCAGAGGTTGTGGCCACATCTGCCTGAAACCCAACGCCGCACTCCAAACAGCTATGGAAGCCATTCATGTCCAATTTCACAGGACTCAACCAATTTAGACAGGAATAGAAAATAGGCTGAAATCTGGAGAGGGGACGTGAACGCTACTATCACTGATTATAGCCTAACAAGCAAATGAAAAATATCCAACAGACAGGAAGTATAACCGGGCAACTCAGAAAGCATTCAGCAGATCTATCGATTACTCTGGGAGAGGGATGAATAAGGCTGCCATCACCAACAAACGGCATACATACCATGTAGGCGACAGGGCGTCCAGCAACAGGGAACCAGAGTATCGTCCAGAAAGCTTAAAAGCTGATGCATTACAAGACAAACCACATGTGAGAAGAAGTAAGGAACAAAGCCGTGGATGACGCCCCCATATATAGCTTCTGATTGGTGTCACAGGTGTGACTCTGTTGGTATAAATACTCAAACTGCGCATAGATGAAGGGAACATTCAGTGCTCTCAGCACAGCCCTCTGGTTATCAGTAGGGATGAAGTAGAACTGTTTTTGCAGCCATTATGCTCAATATATTTCAGGGTGTGGGCATTTCATTATAATTCTAAAAGTTTCGGTGTAATCACTGTATGTGCTGAAATGTGATGAGGAGGAAGCCCGGGTGACGATCGGACAACTGGGCTCTCTCTTTTATGAGCCTAAAAGCTGATTTTCAGTGTGGTGATAATTTTTTTTGAAGCTTAACAGCCCAATTAAACTGAAATATGCTGGCTTATAACCCTGTCTTCTCTTCAGATTTCCCAGGTACTAGATTATGTCAGTAATCCACAGCGAGCAAAGCTTTGGTTGGCTTTCAGGTTCCTGTAAAAACATTAACACAAAGACTGTCTTTCCAGAATCCTTTCAAAATGAAACTGATTTACTGATACCTTTTGTTTCCCATCGCCAGCTGTTAATAATTTAACACAGGCCTGTAGAAAATGATGATTTGGGTTCTGCTGTGTGGTTGTAGGTCATCCCAGGGGCCAACAGGTGGAGGTGCGATACGTTGACTTTGGCAATAAGGAAGTGTTGTCAGTCAGTGACCTGAGGAAGATCAAAGATGAATTCTTTGTGCTTCCTGCTATGGTAAGAGAACATCAAAAGTTGTCTTTTATAACACAGGACGCTCATTAAACCGCCTAAAGCTGTTTTATAGGATGCTCTTAGAAAATTATACAGATTATTTTTTATGTTTTGCCATTTAGTTTCTTTGTGCTCTGCTGTCCTTCTTATTTCTGAATTAAATGTAACTTTTGTCATTTTGAGTTTAATCATTATTCATCTGAGGAGGTTTGGAATTTGTAATTAGGGTTGTGTTTTTACATTTTTTTGTTTAAATGATTCCACTATCTGATCATTGTTTTTATTCTGGTTCCCATTGCTTCTTGATTCTGATTCTTTTAAGAGGAAGGATCATGTTATAACTGAGCTGGCTAACCATAGTCCTGTCTGGATTAAATAATCTGAACTTCTTAATGATTGTTGCTTTGTGGAAACAATTCAGTTTATGCTTCTGACACTCTGCCTCTGCAACTGTCAAATCTGTCTAAAAAAATCCTGACGACACGTTGGACGGTCGCAAACCCGCACAGACCTCAAGCGGAAGTGCGCAGACAAAAAGCAGCTGTGATTGCTCCTTGGTATGCCTTTCTAGCTGTCTGTGTGGTCGTCCTTCCTGATTCGGTGCTGGAACTGAGCCCAATATAAGGTGGAAGAGATGAGTGATGATTGGGAGCTGGAGAGAGTTAAGCAGGTGTCAGGCTCTAATTTAGGTGAGGTATTGGGGCAGATCATGACACTCAGGGAGAATTAAAATTTTAGAAATGGTTCCATTCGATTATTTGTTCCTGACTTTACGAATAATGAAACTGCTTTCAGAAATGCTGGTTCTATTTAATGCTTTGTATAGACGTCCACTGCAAAATTAAATTGATTGCTTTCTTGTGAATTCCAGGCACTCCATTGCTGTCTGGCAGATGTGGTTCCTTCGGACGGGAAGAGCTGGAGTGAAGCCAGCATCTTAAGATTCGCCAACCTTGCTCACCAGAAACTGGTCACAGTGGTGGCAGCAGGTCTGGACTGGGAAAGGCTTTTCTTTTGGACATGCTCCTTTTTCTTCGATTCAAGCTTTTTCTGTTGTTGTTCAGATTGTTGTTGCTGACTTTACATCTGTTTCTCAGAAGTTCCTCAGGCGGGTCCATTCCCGCTCAGTATGTTTGTAGGAGGTGTGAACGAGCCAAAATCCAACATAGCTGAAGTGCTGGTTCTGGAGGATTTGGCCTGCTTCAAAAATCGGTAATTCTTGTCTGAAGTGCAAGATTGAAGGAATTAGAGTATTAGTATTGTACCCCAGTTGTTCACTTCAGTGTTGTGTACGCCAAAGATTTTCAGCTTGGTCCTAGAAAAAATTTTAATGGCTAAAATAAATAGAAATTCCCCCGTTTTTTAATAATAATTTTCTTTTTTAACCGGCAGTTGAGGAAAAAGCTTAGCTCTCAGAGTTTTACATGTTTAAGCTTCCTTACTATAACATATCAAAGGATAAGATCGGTATAAATAATGCATGTTACTCGTATCTTAAGGTGTCTCAGTATTTAACTGGTTTGCCTCCCTTGTTGACCGACCGACTCTTCTTTTCAGCAGACCGAATGTCAAAAAGGAGAATCCCTCTGGTGTTGATTCCGCTTTATGGGATCCACCGCTTGAGCTTTGTTCAGTCGCAGATAAAGCTGATGCTCCAGATCAAAAAACTGAGGAGAAGGAGAAAAGTAAGGCACCTCTGGAGCTGCAGCCCAAATCCAAGCAACGTGAGCAGCATAAAGACCTCAAAGTCACAGTCACTCATGTCAACTCGCCAAGCAGCTTCTACGTCCGACTCACCGATTCTGACTCTGAGCTTCAAAGGTAAGCAGGAAAGAAAAAGGTTGGTTGAATCCTGACAGCCCATGACTGTCCATGTTTTTCAATTCACAAATACATTTAGTCCTCTGTTGGCACGGTTTTATAAGGACATAAATGAGGAATGTCATGTCAACATGCCGTTTGGAATATTCAAGTCACTTAAATAGACATGTAAGTTTTAACAGAAAAATATATTTAAAATAGCCTTTTAATTTAACCCTTTACAACTAAAGCATTGTTTAATGAGCAGACTCGCATCTCAGTAGTTCAGCGCCAATGCATCTATAGGCCTATAGCCTATTTTTATTTATTTACTCCGGGGCAGAAGTTCATGCTGTATCAACTACTATGACATCAGCGTGTCCATGTTAAATGGGTCTAACCTAGCAAACAATCTAAGCATTAGATTTAAGATAGATGTTGTGGATACTTGCATGAGACAGGCAACCAGCACAACTCAGACACCAATGGCAAATCCATGTGAGTTTAATAAGTGAAAAAGAAATGAGGGCAACTTGTCAAACACAAGTGCGAGCCAAGACAACAAGCAAAAGAGTGCTGCAGTTCTAGGAAACCCTGTAAGGCCTCTTTAAAAGTGCAGTAGAAGATCTTTTCTGATGCATTTTTTACCATGTGGCTTAAAGATCTCCCCACAGCCGCTTAGCAAGCAGTGAAATAGAAGGTCTGGAAGTGAAACTAAAATAAATGGTCACCGCTACATTGAAAAAAATCAATGAACAACCTCAACCAATCACAAAACACGGTTTGTCGTCCACTATTGAATCCTGACACGTCAATCATGGTCGTCTGCTTGTCCCTCCCCGCTGTGCGCGTACCCTGACACATGAACGATTCGACCCCCCAATGCTCGTGCAGGACACAATGGCCGGAAGCTAGCCACTGCTATGCTACGTTCAAACCTAAAGCAGCAAAAAAGCGCGTGCTGCTTCATTTTTTATGCTTGTACAAGTTAAGTGAAAGCATCTTTGCCGCTCTGGCTGCGCGGTGGAAAAAGTGGGTCTGATACGCAAATTATGCTTCTGACGCATAGCCTCTGCAACCGTCAAATCTGTCTCTGTGCCTCAAAAAAATCCTGACTACATGTTGGACGGTCGCAAACCCATGCAGACCTCAAGCGGAAGTGCGCAGACAAAAAACAGCTGTGATTGGTCCTCTGTATGCCTTTCTGGCTGTCTGTGGTCGTCCTTCTCAATTCATTGCCCGTGCGCACCATTTTTAAAAACCGAGGAACAAATACAATGGACAACTATGACGAAAGGTTAATCAGTATTTTTGCCAACTCCATTAACAGAACCTGTTCCCCTTCAATGTCTAGCAACTCTAGATTCATCTCCGTGACCGTGATATCTTGCAGACGCGCCATTGTTGTTTTGGAAGATAAATACTCTGAAGTGCTTGCGAGTTCTCGAATAGGTCCCTAGAAATTCTAAACTGACTGTGCAGAAGCATACCAGCAAAACTGGTTCTTGACCAGACCCGAGCGACATTTGATTTGGGCGGTTGCAGAAGTATAACCAGAAGTATAACCAGCCTTTCATGATTTGAAATCATGCATGGCATGAAAGGTTATCCTGCTTAAACCTGCATGTCAAGGCCTGTTCTAAGTTTGCCAATGACCATTTGGATTATCCAGAGGAGTCATGGTAGAAAGTCATGTGGTCAGATCAGTGACCAATATAGAACTAATTCCACTAACCATGTTTGGAGGAAGAAGAATGATGAGTACCATTCCAAGAACACCATCCCTACTGTGAAGCATGGGGGTGGTAGCATCATGCTTTGTGGTGTTTTTTCTGCTCATCGGGGGCGACTGTACTGTATTAAGAGATTTTGATGTTTTGAGAGATATTGGAGAACAAACTCCTTCCCTCAGAGCATTGAAGATGGGTCGAGGCTGGGTCTTCTAACATGACAATGACCCAAAGCACATAGCCAGGATAACCAAGGAGTGGATCTGAAAGAAGCTCATCAAAGTTCACAACTGAACCAAATAGAGAATCCTTGTAGGGAGCTCAAACTATGCGTTTCTCAGCAACAGCCCAGAAACCTGACTGATCCAAAGAAGATCTGTGTGGAGGAGTGGGCCAAAATCCCTCCTGCAGTGTGTGCAAACCTGGTGAAAAAGTACAGGAAATGTTTGACCTCTGTAATTGCAAACACAGGCTACTGTATCAAATATTAACATTGATTTTCTCAGGTGTTCAAGTACTCATTTGCAGCTGTATCAAACAAATAAATAGTTTTTAAAAAATCATACACATCTGGATCTTGTTTTTTCTAGATTATGTCTCTAACAGTGGACAAGCACCTCCAATGACAATTCCAGACCCCTTCATGATTTCTAAGTAGGAGAACTTGTAAATTTGGAGGGTGTTCAAATATTAATTTTCCTCACTCTACTACTTCCTGTCACACGGTATTATGGAAAATAAAGATTTAGTTTAGTAACAAGTGGTGCAAAAACGGAGTGTAAAACGGTGAAATCCAATTCTATTTTATGTCTTAAGCAAAAAAACAACCAGAGCTGACAAACGCTGACTGGTGTGGAGTGCTGGCCTAGTGGTAAGAGCATTGCTCTTGGATGCTTGAGGTTCTGAGTTAAAATCCTACATTTATCACATTTCCGGAAAGATGCAGTAGTGTAAAAGCATTGGAGATGTTTCTGCAAGGAAACACATCAGATGAGGTTGGCAGCATGTTTGCAAGATCTTCTTAGTTCGGGGGAAGGAAAGTCCTAATGATGACGCATACAGACATGTTCACGGAAGTTTGATACTCCCAACTTTGCTTGGCTCATTGCTATTTCCTATAAACCTGTGGATGATAAGGTTTGGTGTGTAGGAACCTGAATGGCCTGCACAGGGTCCTCATTTTAACACCTTTAAACAGAGGAAGCTTCAGGCCATGCCCTCCCATCAAAGATCAGTGTGTGACCTCACAAGTAAGACGGTCAGAAACTTATTCCTAAGTCTTGTGGTTTAGATCCTGTGGATGTTATGGGGGCAGAGGATGCAACAGCCTCAACCCTATGAATTAGGTAAAGGGGCCTAGTGGTTAGGGCATTGCACATGGAATCCTGAGGTTCTGAGTTTGAGCCCCACTCCCACAGACTGCCACTGTGGGTCCCTGAGCAAGACCCTTAACCCCACACTGCTCCCCAAAGGGATGGGTTAAACGCAGAGGTACATTTCTCAGATGTGAAATCAATAAAGTTAAATTATTATTAATAAATGCTGTAGTGCTGTACAGAAAAAAAATACTTAAATAAATAAAACAGCAAACACATGTAAAAATAACATTCACACAAATAGATTGGGTAAAAGATCAAAGGAATGAAAGATAAAAAATAAAGGCCACCATCATTGCTAGGTGCTAAAGCCAAAATGGTGCCATAACTAGAAAGCCTTTGTATTCAATCAGATTGAGGTACAGGTGTAGGAATCCATAAAGTCATAGTAATAAATCTCTCTGGTTTGTTTAAGTAGAAGTCATTAGCTGTGTTTTATTTTTGCTGTTTATGTAGGGTATGTGAACTGGTGGAGCAGGAGTGCGCCCAAAAGGAGCTGCAGGATGTGGAGTGGAAGGCAGATATGCACTGCGCTGCTAACATCAACGGAGTCTGGGAGAGAGGACAGATGTGCTGCGACGTCACTTCAAACACTGCAGAAGTATTTAAACACAGTTCTTTTCTTTCTGAAATGGACTTTCCTGCCACCAGAAGTATTAAAAAAAATTCTGCAGCATTTAGATCATTGAACACTCCCCAAATCTCACTCCCCTTGACAAATTAAAATGTGAAGTTTTATGATTCTTCTAATTAAAAGAATTGGAACTGAGAATCGAAATAAGGAATCAAAGAATTTTTCAAATCCTGTGTTGCCCGCCGTGGCAACTGCCACTTTGGAGGGACCTTCCATCCCAGGCTCAAAGGGAAAATTTTCACTCCAATCCAGAAAGGCCCTTTGGGCTTGGCTCCTTTGTGATCAAAATGAAATGCAGATGAGCTCCCTGATGAGCCAGCAAAACATTTTTGCTTTATATTATCCTGGTGACTGCATTTTGAATTACATACATGAAAAACGCCTTCCAGCTGCCACAGCAAACCGTGAGGAGGCGACCAGCTTGTCCTGAATGATTAGATAAGGTTGGGAGCTTGGACCCTCCCTTGCATAGAGGTCACTGATGCCAGCAGCGACTCAGGGCCAGTGCAATGTCATTGAAGCTTCTGATAAGGTCACACAGGAGGAGTTCCCCATAACGAGATGCTAATCAGAGGATATTTATAACCTTAAGTTTTCTAACTTTGACTTAAAAGAACTCAGGCTTTCAGAACTTTTCCAGTCTACTGGGAGTTTGTTCCAGATCAGTGGAGCATAGGAACTAAATTCTGCTTCTCCATGTTTGGTTCTAGTTCTCTATTCAACGTGTTGATACACTGACCACACACCTGTTATGTATTGAGTATGTATTCAGTGATTTATAGACTAACAGAAGGATTTTAAATACTGAGCTACAGTGATGGTGATGGCTGTTTCCAGTCCTCAGGTTGGCTTTGTAGCTGTGATTCCTTGGTTGTCCTTGAGCTTCTTAAACAGTTTACTCTCTACAATTTGGACCTTTTTCCACATTCTTGTTATTGATAAAAATATGTAATTGAATTACATTTGTTACGTTTGTTTTTTTTGCAGATCCGGACATAGGTTTACTTCTAATGACTTTACTAACTTGTGAAGCAGTTACCACCTTAAGGCAGGTTTATGCTCAGAAACCAGGTTTTCTGCGTGTGCAGTGCAGACGCAGTGAACGCAAATATGTCCCCGCTCCTTCCGCAGACACTCTGCTGCACATCTTCCCAACTGTAGGTGACTGCAGACAGTGCCGCAGACAGGTGGCCTCTGATTGGTCAAATCTACATCCGCTCTACACTATGCATATTTCCTGTTTGGTACCTTATCTGCTTGTTTTGTTTGTTTGTGGAAAACGACTCGTGAAGATGGACCAGCTAGATGAGTAAGGTGCAAGAGAACGCTGGGACCATTTTTCCACCTGGATTCCCGCTCTTTTTTGCCCTCTTGTCCCTCTGTTGTCGCACAAACTTGCCCCCACTTCCTCACCACCTCAGCCATATCTAGACCCACAGCTAGTTCCTGATTGTCCCTCTTGCATGGTGGCTTGTAATAACATAGAGCGGACTACGCTTCAATATTGGGCATAAATCAAAAATATCTGCAACAAGCTCACTGCGACACACTGCTGCGGGAGGATAACCAGTCCTTCAGGTCCCCTCGAGTTCCTAAACTCCCAATCATTGAGAAAAGTGGTGATCTTTTTAAAGGCTGTGTTGTGAGCTGTCGGCATTGTTTTCCTTGGGGCGTAGACGCACTGACCTGCTAGTGGGGGATTTTTGTCCCCAATTAAACTCTTTGTCTCTCTGTCTCCTTACTGAATGGCTCCAGGTAAGACTGTGTGACCATGGAAACATCATGAAGATCCATGTCAGCAACCTGCGCCCTCTTCCACCCTCTTTGATCGGCTCCCTGGTGCTGGAGTGCACGCTTAGTGATATCAGGTTGGTTTTAGAGAAATGCCATGAAATACTCTCTCCATTACTTTTTAAAACAGAATGAAGGATGTCAGTTCTGATTTATGATAACGTGTTGGAAGGCTTGTATAATATAAAGCAGGGTTTCTTAACCCTGTTCCTCAGGTCCTACGGTCCTACATGATTTAGGTCTTTCCCTGCCTCCTCACACCTGACCTGTATGAAAAGGTGATTAATAGGCTTTTACAGCATTAGATGGCTGCTGAGGAGGTAATGCAGTCATTTGAATCAGGTGTGTTTGAGTAGAGACACATCTTAACTAGGGGTGGAACGGTTCACAAAATCCA